TGCCATCTATAATGACATTTAATATATTATAGATAAGCTTCACACCTGACTTTTGGTTTGAAAATTTAAATACATGTTAATATGTAATTTTTACTTGTTGAACACAGGATTTGAAGAAGAAAGCCCTATTATTTGTGCACAATTCTTCCAGCCGCCATACTCTCCCTCATAGCCAATTTGCTGTGTATTTATTTTCTGCACGTGTATGTATCGTGCTTCTCAGAAAGCAAAAAAACCATTCGATTTGATTTCAAACTGGTGATCCCAATATTCACTTTAGTCCCCAAATTTAATTTTAATTACAAATGGGTTGGAATCAAATTAAACTCACAACAAGCTGGACCTATTTACTAAGTGATTGGGTCAAATGGCTCAGAATTCTCACATATATCAACCGCTACTTATGTCTTGAGTTGTGATTCAATCGACTTCATATGTCTTTTTTATGTCCTCTTCATGAAATTTACTTTAAATGACTCTTCTCTAAAGAAGTAGGCACAATCTCAATTAAGTCACAATTAGGTACATTTTCTTGTATAACACATAGACGACAAGAGCTTGTTTCTTGACTTTGTTTGATTGATAAAAAATAAATTGAGTTTTCCTGCATCTTCAATTCTAATGGATTCACTAATTGTGTTGATCTCGTATTTGTCTTTAATTCTTATGCTTTCACTAAATCATTTCATTATTGTACAAAGAATTATGTTCCTTGTACACTTCTTGTGTATATGGAGTTTGACACTTCTTTGCAAATTCAAAAATGGAGTGGCGAGAAAGTGTGTTGTATTTTCAAATTGGCCAATTGTACTGTAACATGTGGCACAATGTCAAATTTGATGTAAAAAATAATGTACTAGTAGCATGATTGATTGTACAAATCCTATAAATAGTAGACTCCGATATTTATTTTGCGTTTCAATCACAACATTGATAGAACACACTCAACATTATCGACATCAAACCCACGAAGATTTTGAATTAAGCCTTGATGATGGCAACACTCAACTCCCAACCCCAAACCTCATACAAGTGAAATCACCCAATCCAATCAAAGTCACGTTCCAATAGTGCAAATAAATTCATAAAAATGAGGCAGTACCTTGGTTTGCACGCGTGTAAAGCAATTTCTGGCACGTGAACAGTGTATTGAAAATTATATTAAAATGACATGCAACTCATTCTTAGCTAACCAAGTGGCTGAACAGGAAGTAGATTGGAAAGTTCATTAAGCAACAGCCACACCACAAGATTTCAATATCTGTTCCGTTCACCTAATCTAAAGGAAGAAAGAGAAATCACGTCATTGTCGTAGTAAACTTTCACGAGTAATTTCGTGTCTACTTGGAAAATCGGGTTCTAAACTGCGTTCCAGTTGATCAAATATAGATTTTTACTTGGCCACCGTTTGAAGCCGATTTTGTGGGGGAAAAAAAATGAATTTTTGCACAGTTGAGTTTCAATTTCAGCCGCACTTTTTGACTACTTCTCACATTGGTGGGACCCACCTCGCTATGTAACGGTCAAAAATCCATTTTTTGGACCAGAAAATCGGCAAACAGAGGGTTAATAATATTTGTAACCCACTTCGGGAATATGATTAAATGGTATTTTAAAGCGGGATAAATTTAATTTTTGAGTCAATTTTATGACGTAACAAGTAAAAGAATTTCAAGCCAAACTTTTGGGTGGGCTAAGCCAATTTGTTAACTCTAAGGTCGGTCTCGTATATCATATCAGTTGAGGCTTTTCCTGTCGACTTAAGCCTATAAGTGTATACATAATACACAAAAGTAGACACGTTCAGACACTACAATATAATATTTTATTTTATTTTTGTATATATTATACAATATTAAATACATTACACTTGATTGTATCGGTGAGTTTTATGATGGAGATTGAGGATTGATCAAGCATGTTTTGACATCTTATCGTGGAGTGCTTTTCAATGAATTTTCTCTAGGATTGGCCTTTCGTACCCGTACAAGAAAAGAGAAAATAATTCACCTCACTAGGAAGCTAATATCTAAATTCCTAATTGGCTGTACTTGCATTTCTCGCTTCAATCGTAAGTCTGTGAGACCTTAATGTTTTAGTCAAATATTGATGTTCCAAATTGACTAATGTCTTCAAAATCTAATGGCGGATTAAAGCCGCAACATTTAAACCCTAAGAAGACATTCAAAACCAACGTTAATAATATAAAACTCGAAGATTCTGTCTGAACGTATGCATCATGCATGGCCCATGACGTTTTCATTTTCTAAAATTACTGTTGGCTAAAGATAGACATTAATTATGTGCCCCCTCAAGTCAAGCAAGGCCCTATATAAGTACTTTCATTTTGCAAATATTTGTATCATCGAATCATTAGAAATCTAATTTCGAATAAGAAAATCTCTTTTATCCATATGGATATGCATAATCTTCTTTTAGTAATATTCATAGGTTTTTGTGTTCTTACAACACATTTTTATGGGTCGAATAGTACTATTATATCGCTTTGTATCCAAACGCCCTATCCAGAGTTATGTAATTCTCTCACCATCAATGAACCTCAAACGAGTTCAGATGAAAACTTGTTCAATTTCCGTGACACTGCCCTTAGGGTTACTCTAGCTCAAGCTGAAAACGCCCACAAGCTCATTTCAACTATGGACTTAGGTTCATTCAATGAGCTAGGTCAATCAGCTTGGACTGATTGTTTAGAACTTTATGAAGACACCATTTATCAACTTAATCGCTCAATCACCTCGAGAAATCCACATAGCATGCTTGATGCTCAAACCTGGTTGAGTGCAACCATTGCCAATGAAGAAGCATGCCAAAATGGGTTTATGGATTTTAACTTGTCTTCCCAGTTGCAGACTTCCCCATTTATGCTCAGTAACATTTCAAAATTCTTGAGCAATTCACTAGCCATCAATAAGGCCGTGACTTCTTCCTCATCTGTAATTGATAGTACTAATATTCATCACAATCGTCGATTGTTATCCGATGGTTTCCCGGAATGGCTTTCGGCCAGTGATAGAAAATTGCTGCAATCCTCTTCTATTGCCACTGTTAAAGCTCATATTGTTGTGGCTCAAGATGGCTCTGGTAATTATAAGACTATTTCTGAAGCTTTGGCTGCAGTTTCCAAAAGGAGAGGTGCCAAGAGGTTTATTATATATGTTAAGAAGGGAGTCTACAAAGAAAATGTTGAGATAAAGAAGTCTATGAAGAACTTGATGTTCATTGGAGATGGAATTGATGCCACCATTATTACTGGCAACAAGAATGTCCAAGATGGCTCCACAACTTTTCGTTCAGCAACTTTTGGTGAGTTTAATTTCAATTTGATTGCCATTTAGAACCATTGACTTTAAAATAAAATTAAAATGGATATGTGATTTAACTAAATAGTTAATGTGAATATCATTATATTAGTTTTGGAAAACCATTTCCATCTAGCCATGCTTCATCTAATTTTCTTATTCTTTTTAATTTTCATTTCTGTTGAAATTGTTTTCCCTCTAACACAGTAAAATACTGTTTGGCCTTGTCTTAAAGGCGGTTAAACAATCTTGTCTTTCAATTTATGAAAATTGTGCATGTATACAAGCGAGGGCTCCCTTGTTGAAGAATAAATTCTATAAACTATCCCCGTCTCCAAATAGCACAACATGCTTTTAAACTAAACTCAATGAACGCAGTCACTTGTCATTTAGTTAAAATATATATAAACGAGACGTCCCTTGCACGAATTGCATTGTCAAGTCAATATTCAGTTAATATTATATATCAACTTGATCGTTGAACTATAATTATGCATGTATCATATATCAAAAAGAGGCAATTTTCTTAATGAAATCATTAATTGTTGACTTTACATAATCTAATCAATTATATTGCACTAATTTTTCTCCTATTCTTCCCATAATCCTCAGCTGTTTCTGGTGAGGGCTTCATTGCTCGGGGTATAACATTCGAAAACACGGCAGGGCCTCAAAAACACCAAGCAGTGGCGCTCCGTTCTGGCTCAGATTTCTCAGTTTTCTACGGCTGCAGCTTCAAGGGCTACCAGGACACCCTATACGTTTATTCTCAACGTCAATTTTATCGAGATTGTGACATATATGGAACGGTGGATTTCATTTTCGGGGATGCTGTGGCGATTCTTCAAAACTGTAACATATATGTAAGAAAACCAATGAGCAATCAGAAAAACACTGTCACAGCTCAAGGAAGAAGAGATCCTAATGAAAATACTGGGATTATAATCCAAAATTCACGTGTGGTCGCAGCATCGGACTTTAGGGCAGTCCAAAATTCATTCAAGAGCTATCTTGGGAGGCCATGGAGGCAATATTCGAGGACAGTGTTCATTAAATGTACCCTAGATGGCTTTATCGACCCAGCGGGGTGGTTGCCATGGAGTGGAAGTTTTGCTTTAAAGACATTATACTATGGAGAGTACATGAACACAGGGAGTGGTGCAAGAACTAGTGGGAGGGTGAAGTGGCCGGGATACCACGTTATAACCCGTGCTGCCGAGGCTGGAAAATTCTCTGTAGGAAACTTTCTTGCCGGAGATTCATGGCTTCCGGCAACTGGTGTGCCCTTCACGTCTGGCCTGTGACCTGAAATTGCTGTAGTTTTCATAATTATGCATAAAGTTGGTGGATATTCATGGACGTCTTTCTTTAATTAATTAGGAAAGTGATTTGCATATATATATATATATATATATATATATGATACAATTGTCACATAGTTTGTGTTGGATTGCATTTACAAATTACAGATTGTATTATTGTACGCCACAAGTAATATTTATTTTCTCTTTTTCAGAAATAAAAACGTGCTATTTAATTCTGAAGAAATGTTAGAAGTGATAGTAGGTCACAAAAACTCAAAACTCATAAATATGCTATAATTTATTTTCTTCAAATATGTGTTTCTCTTATTATATATGAAATGTTTAATTTCTATTTTTTCAGAAATAAAAAAGAATATGTTTTTCTTTTTCATGTTTAATTGTGGAGAAGTATTATAAGTCATGGTAGGCTCTCAAGGACAAAAGTAAAACCCACAAAAATGTTATAAGAGAAAAAGTTTGTTCGATTGAAAATGTGTCTCTCTCTCTTTTATATATGAAAGTTTATTACACTTTCGTACATGCATTTTTAAACAAGTTCCTTTGATGTGGATACATAAATTCAATATATTCACGTTTCTTCCTTTAAGATCCAACGTAGAACATCTCATCGATAAGCTTATAGTCTTCATCGCCTTTGTAACATGACATCATTTTCTCCTTGATCACCTCTAAGGAAATGATACTTTATTTTGATGTATTTGCTTCTTTAATGAAAAGATTGGATTCTTTACAATAGTAATTGATGAATAATTTCTCACAAAACAAAATCATAACTTTGTCTTCAAGGGACTTCAAATTATTGAGTATCCATCTCAACCATAATTCCTTAAATCAGATACTAACAAAGAAATATATTTGGCTTCTTTTGTGTAGAGGCCTACTATATATAGGCTGCTTCTTTGATGCCAATTGTGAAAACATATCATGAAATACATTTATGGTAATCAACAATATTACCTCCCCGATTAATGTCACTATAACCAACAAGAGTTAAATCTTCTTATAGTGAATTCCATGGTCTAGAGTGCTCTCACATATCTTAGATCTCGTTTTCCAACTTCCCAATGAGTATCATTAGGTTTTTATACTAACAGCTAACATGATATTCAAGTCTTGACATTATCGAGACTTCACGTAAGATTTTGATAAATTGTTACATCAAAGTTTTTGCCCAATTTTGAATCCACTTCTATTGGTATTTTGCTTTGTGAAACTTCATTCTTCTTGAACTTCATCAACAAACTTTTAGCATATTTCTTTTGCGAAATTACAATCTCCTTAGTTTTTTTGTTCAACTTCAATTATAAGGATTTATTGCAACAAGCTCATATCTGTCATCTCGAATCATTTCATCAATGTCTTGAATTCGTCGCACATCACCGTGTTGTTACTTTTGAAAATAAGATCATCAACACATAAACAAATGATCATAATATTACCATCTTGGTCTTCGTTGGTGTAGAGTGCATTTTCATATGAATATCTTTTGAACCCTTTCTTTAAAATGAATTTGTCAGTTCAAGTTACCATACTCTAGGTACTTGTTTCAAACTGTATAGTGCTTTCTTGAGTCGATATACCTTAAGATATTTTGCCTTTCTTCTTATTACCCATGGATTGTTCCATATAAATTTCTTCTGTGAAACCATTTAAAAATGCTGATTTCACATCCATTTAGTAGACTTTTCACCCTCTTTGAATCTTCATGGAAATAATTAGTCAATTTGTCTCAAAGTTAATCACTGGAGTAAAAGTTTCTTCGTATCTATCTGTTATTTTTGTTGTAGCTTTAACAACTAGCCTTACTTTATATTTGTCGACCGAATTCATCTTTTCTTGTTGTGAAACAAAAAAATATCTCTTGTTAGAAAAAATATTAATATCCTCGAATCGTTGATAACAATGTTGGAAATACAAAAATTATGTATTGTTTGAATACTACTTGATAAAATCAACCATCAGAATGAATTGTTGAAGTTACATGACAAATAATGTAGTATTAAATCAAGCAAAAAAAAATATGGCAAATGAATTAAAAGATTTTATTGACTCAAAAATAATGGAGAAGAGAGAAAATTAGAATAGATCATATAATTCTAGTAATCTATTTTCTCACGCCATGAAATTGTATAGAAGAGCTTATTTTTTATAGGGAACATGTAGGGGACGTCCAAACTCTCCTAATACAATTGTTAATGAACTATGATGCCAAAAAATCGAGTCCAAAGCGAAAAAGGTGAGAAAAATCCGAAACAGGTCGGGTGGNAAAAAAAAAAAATCGAGTCCAAAACGAAAAAAGAGAAAAAATGCAAAAAACCTCGGAACATACAGGTAAGCGCCAGGTCTCAGCCAAAAAACTTCCAATAGTATTTTTCTCTATTCCGAACTCTTCTTCAAGTCCAATACCAATTTTTAACTCCCAATAAGCTTTCAAAATAGAACTTCAACGTAACATAGGACTCCAATAGCATTCCAAATTTAATACTTCTTGACATGCAATTCAATTAGAATTCTTTAATACTTCAAACAAGGAATTCAGGTCACACCTAAATTCTAACAATCTCTACCTGACACGAATTCCACCAAGGAATGAACCGACTTCTTCAACAAAAATCAAAAATTAATTTCTCCAACAAAGCACAATACTCCACATTTTCCAATGAATTCAAGCACTACTCTGGTAGAATTATCTCAAATTCCCAAAAATCATAATGATTTTATAATTTGCCAAAATAGGTCGTAACAAAATCAGCATAAAGTAATATCAAATGCTTTTACTGAATGCCCCTTGCTAGATTGAATACATTTTACTCCAATTAAAGCATGCTCAACGAAATCAACATCCACATACAATTTTCCACCGGGTCCATCCCTAACAATTGAATACAATGGCACCGCGGGTGATTGTGGAAAAGCGACATTATCCATATTTTCTGAACTCAATTGAGGAGTATTCTTCAAATCCGACTCTTTACTAGCTTCTAAAGGTATTGTACCAAACTGAATGTCCACCACGGTACTGAACATGTGCTGATTGACTCTTCTACAGTCTGCACGACCCTGCAAGATATATAATTGAGACGTTTTCTGTCATTTCAATACAACTTGGGCACCCTTCAAAGTTTCACATCCACCAAAGAACTCTTTATCCTTTGAACTAAGGATAGATAACGAGATGAGAATATTTTTCAAATTCGAAACATGTTGAACTTGGTCAAGTGTTCTAATTGTCCAATACAATAACTTCAATTTGACCATACCAATTTCATTAACCCGAAAAGGTGTGTTGTCTCTCATAACTACGACACTTTTGGAAACAGTTTTATATGTAGTAAATAAGTCCTTATTAGGATACATATTAAACACACACGCTAAATCCAAAATCCAATCATCCTCTAGTTTAGACTCAATGTCAGACATAACTAAGAGATATCCCTCACTTAAAATGTTCTCTGCGAGGTTTGCTTCACCTGAAGTCTCTGATTGCTTCTCATATCGATTTGCAGCCAACCTTTCTTTATTTTGCAATTTGTAGCAATCCTTCTTCATGTGCCCCTTCTTCTTGCAGTAATTACAAATCTAATTACGGAACTTAGACTTCGATCTGTCCCTTTCAAAACCACTATGAACAACCCGACCTTCTCCATCTCTGACCTCTGAAACCATATGTTTCATCTTCTCTTTTGAATACAAAGCATCATACACCTCCTCTATAGTGAGAGTATCACGACTATACAATATCGTGTCTCTAAATGAAGAAAACGTANTGGGAACGATACTCGAAATTTTTGAATTTTCACTTTATTACTTGTCAACGAACCGTACACTTGCGGTGATTTAAATTCGAAACATATTTTCGTGAACAACCAACTTGGTCTTCGTTGGTGTAGAGTGCATTTTCATATGAATATCTTTTGAACCCTTTCTTTAAAAATGAATTTGTCAGTTCAAGTTACCATACTCTAGGTACTTGTTTCAAACTGTATAGTGCTTTCTTGAGTCGATATACCTTAAGATATTTTGCCTTTCTTCTTATTATCCATGGATTGTTCCATATAAATTTCTTCTTTGAAACCATTTATAAATGCCGATTTCACATCCATTTAGTAGACTTTTCACCCTCTTTGAATCTTCATGGAAATAATTAGTCAAATTGTCTCAAAGTTAATCACTGGAGTAAAAGTTTCTTCGTATCTAATCTGTTATTTTTGTTGTAGCTTTAACAACTAGCCTTACTTTATATGTGTCGACCGAATTCATCTTTTCTTGTTGTGAAACAAAAAAATATCTCTTGTTAGAAGAAATATTAATATGCTCGGATCGTTGATAACAATGTTGGAAATACAAAAATTATGTATTGTTTGAATAATACTTGATAAAATCAACCATCAGAATGAATTGTTGAAGTTACATGACAAATAATGAAGTATTAAATCAAGCAAAAAAAAATATGGCAAATGAATTAAAAGATTTTATTAACTCAAAAATAATGGAGAAGAGAGAAAATTAGAATGGGTCATATAATTCTAGTAATCTATTTTCTCATCTATTTTCTCACGCCATGAAATTGTATAGAAGAGCTTATTTTTTATAGGAAACATGTAGGGGACGTCCAAACTCTCCTAATACAATTGTTAATGAACTATGATGCCAAAAAATCGAGTCCAAAGCGAAAAAGGTGAGAAAAATCCGAAACAGGTCGGGTGG